CTCAGTCGTTTCCCCTTTTTGCATCCCTGAAATGAACTTGCCTTAAAGAAGAGCTTTTAGGATTGTGGGATCACAGATGTGACTTAGGTAGGAAGGTGGTGAGACACCCTTCGAAGTGATACCTGCGGTCCACACAAATCGCAGCGATTATTTAGCAATTACTGAGGATGAGTACTAAGCCCCATTCATACGATGAATACTACTCATAGATAGAAGGAAAAAGTGAATTAGAGCATTAAGTGAGCGAATTCTTATGCGTAGAAGGACATTGGAATGGCTCAAGATGACTCAAACTGGAAGAACTTTATATGTCCATAACTCTAGGTCCAATCGTTTCAAATGAGACGGTCTAATGACACCAGAATAAAGTAGCTACTGCTGCTGCAATCAGTGAACAAACAGATTCCGATGGGGAGGGGGGGGGACGTTCATTTTGACAGTCAACACAGATGTGACTAAGATGGGAAGGTGGGGAGACACCCTTTTCAAGGTGACATTTGTAGTGGACAATTTCTGTCACCACCTTCCGCATTTCCTGTCTCCAATTCTCATTAGTGCACTTTTCTCCTGCCTCCAATGCTTTTTCCCTGCACACTTTGTGACATTTGTCATAGGCATGACTAGAAAAATCCGCCCAAGATGTTCAAGGGGACATGAGAGCAGGTAAAATAGAGCCTGACCAATTCGGTCCTGAAACCAAACAGCTCTACACACCCACTAGCGCCTATTCGTCTGTAAGAGTATGGCTGGGTATTACCTATAGCCGGCTTCACGGAGTAGTGCCAACACTCTCCGGTAAAACAAAAATCCAATATGCCCGTTTGCTAGTGACTGCAACCGCGCGTTTTGGACGCATTTCCAAGTGGAAGGGTATGCTCACAATTATCTACCTCTTATCGAATTCCGATAACAAAAATGAAAGTGAAAGTACTTCAACTTACCTTGTAGAAGAGCCGTTAGGATTGTGAGATCAATTTCATCTGTAGTTCCATCACCCATTTGAAAGACGCTCAACTGAAAATAGGCAAAAAAAAAGAATTGAGCATGTCATTTTGTTTGCTCAACTTGCCCAATTACTCACATTCAAATAATGCGGAAAGCGGGAGTGGAAATCTAGACGGTTTACTTTAATTTGTCCATTTAGGGGATCATTTCCAAATACTCAACTT